CCGTAGGAGCCGCAAAACCGACCGAAATTATTTATTAGTCGACCTAATAAAATACCAACAAGCTAATGAGCTTCCTACTGCACTTTAAATCACTTGATTTGGCTGCGAAGTTTATTTTTGAATTCGGAGAGCATCATTCACGCCGCGAGAACGGCATTTTACCATTGATAGAAGCGTTAACGGCACAAGTCAGCGCTTTCTAAATTCAATCCATTTATAATCGCCGCTGTTCAAAGTGCATACAGGTTGATCATACGTGCACAGCGAGATGTAGTAGACATCATTCCAGATTGAACAACTGTCTGTTCGTGTAGAGCGCGCTGACAGTGAACGACGTTCAGCTGCCACAAATGAACACATACTTACTCAGCTGCAATGTTTCAGTAAGAAGCTTATCCCCCTCTTTCCATTTTCACTGTTTTCAAACATATTTTATAAGCGATATGTTTTGCAGAGGAAGAATTTTCTTTACGTGAAGACCGCTTATTGGCTAACGTATCCGATTTGATTGAAACAAATCACCGCGAGACCATTAACGTCGTTCGAAATGCACTCAATGAGAATTCCGTTGCTGTTGAAAACTCGATACAAGCAAATCACAAGGTTGGTTATGTTTATTAAACCAATATGCCTCTGTGTCAGCTTTTCTTTCGTTTTTTTTTATCATGAGAGACATTTCTAGCTGAGCGCGGATGCTGTATCACATCGTGTAACTGAACGTTTACGAGAAGCGCTGACAACGATGGTGGTACCTGCTATAGAGCGGATTTGTGCACAACTTTTCAAACAGCTTAACGACAGTTTCCGTCATGGACTTGAGCAGGTCTTTTACCTTCGCATGCCACGTATGCTTGAAAATACTGTTTTTAATTTTTGCAGTATCTGCAGCAAATGAGAGCGTTGCAAACTGCTACGCTAGCAGCCGTCGCTGCTAGCGCTACACCGGCTCCTTCGCTCTCGGTCGGAGCAGATCGACAAGCTCTTGCGCATATGATCAAAAATAACCAGATTCCACTTGCTTTTGAGACTGTATGTTCCTTTTTCTTTTGTTACACTCCTGCTTTCCCATTATCTTGTTCATTTTTTCACAGTCTAGGCGCTGAATCAAGGCGACCAAGCAGCGCTTGAGTTTGTTTGCAATAACGTGGATCCTGATGAACTGTTCCGCTTCCCTTGTACTCTTTCTCAACCAGTGCTGCTATCGCTTTTACAACAGCTATCTTTACGACTCGACTCGGATACTGATCTGAAGTTCCGGTAGCTTTTAGCAGATATCAATAAAATATCTTTTGATTGTTCGATAACTGCAGCGAGTCATGAGCTGTATACTGCCATGATGTAGACATTTTTTAGGTACATGGAACACATAGTGGATGTTCTCAAACCGCATGACGACGATATCGGAG